TTTTTTTTTTCTGTCTGAAAAATAGTCTCGTCCACGTGCACGCAAAGAACACCGAAACAGTTTGCGCGACGCAACGCTCTTTCACGTTTTCCATCACATTCGCTTTTGCACTCTCATTTTTTTTTTTTTTTTCTTTTGCTATCTTCAAGATATCCGCTCGTTGCCAAGGCCGCGATAATATATATATGTATAATTCTCTCGTTTCGCTATTTTCGCGACAAAGATACGCGGGATGTGATTCGCGAACTTTGAAGTTCGCGCACAAAGAGCGAAACGTGTGTGTGTGTATATATTTGTTTAAACAAACGTCAGTCAAATCGGTCGGTTTCTTTCACGTTCGATTTCTTTACAACGGGGGGTGTATTCTTTGTCGCGAAAAAGAGACGAAACGATCATATTGACGACAAGTGGATGAAGCTGTTGCTATCGTGAGCGCAATTGATACACACAGACGCGTATAACACGTGTCATCGTTTTCGCGACGTATCGTCAAACATGTCAGTCACACTTTTTGAGCAAACCAGTTGCATTGCATTTTTCACAATATTGCAAAAATTATTTCGCTCTCTCTCTCAAAAAAAAAAAAAAAAGCAAACAAACAAACAAATTAAGAACATAAGCAAATTACATTACACGAACAATGTCATTATAAAATAATAATTTCGTCCTTAATTCTAAGCAAATCATTCGTGTATATACATTTATATTTTCATTTCGTCTCACTTTCATCACGCATCACCGCCACAACAGATTCCTCTCAACTTTTTCATATAGTTTCGTCCTGATATGACAATCAGATTTCAATCAATTCCAGCTCCCGTAGCAAGTACACCTTCATCCACTCGCATTTTTGCAACTTTTTTTTATCGCGAGGGCAACGTCACCCTCCGACATTGTCGGAACACGTTTTATTGACTCTTAGAATCCGATAGTCACAAGCGGAAGCCTTACATCGCGAAATTTGGGAGAGCTTTTGACGAGCGCCCGCAGAATCGCGAGCAGACACAACTATATTACGCGTTACTTTGTCTTAAAGAAAAAACATTATATATATTTCAACTTGAATAAATACTTGAATAAATACGTCCAATATCGCGCGCGCGAGAATCATGTGTGCAACACATGCGAAAACACAAAACAATAAATAAAAGAAGGCGTATTGCCAATTGCCAATTTGTTCAAACGTAAAAATTTGAAAAAAGTGATAAATATTTTCTTTTTTTACTTTTTTATAACAATAATTCTCTTGATTTCTCATTAACAAAGATTAAAAAAAAAAAAAAAAAAAGAATAAATTAGCTCCAGCGTGACGATGATATTGGTTTTTTATCTCCGCTTACAGATTGCAATAACGAACGACGTTATCACCGACTGATGTAAATCGGTTTCGAAGAGTCAAAATTGTCTGTTCAGCGTTCCCGTGATAATTACACAAATTTTTTTGCCGCCAGAAAAATAGAATTCTTAAAACTTAAACTCAGTCCTTCCTCGTCGCATCACACATGTGACAGACGTTGTGCGAGGTGTGCCATGATAAATACGAAAAAAAAAAAAAAAAAAAACAAAAAGCAAATGGTTCTTCAAACCACGAGAAGAACGAAATTAACATCACACATGCCAAGTACAAAAGCTATATAAAGGAGCTGCTTTTACGTGCGAAATGAGATATTATGTAAATTAACACTCCATGACTGTCATCCACATAAGCAAATCTTTTATTTGTTCGAGTATTAAATAAATATTTTTTTTCACAATATAGAGATCACGATAGAAAAGTCAATAAGATATTTGCGAAAATAATAAGATTTGTTAGAAACACGGTTGCAAAACTGAAAAAAAAAATATATAAATTTGTTTGATTTACGTATAAATGAAGACAACGGGAGAAGAACTTGATTAAAGTCGTAATTTTTAGAGGAGAGCGATTTTCTTTGCACACGTTTTACAAAAATGCTTATATCTCGAAAGAACTTCCCCCTCTCGGTTTGGATAATTAAAATACTCTATTTCAACTAACCAAATAACATATTAAGATCAAAAAATTGGATTTATCAAGTTCTTCTTCTCTGTGCGATCTTCAAATATGAACATATAATAACACCGGATTTAAGAGATAAGTACAGGATGACGGTCAAAACGTGTTTTGAGAAAAAAAACCTATGTACGTAAGATCACTGTGCGAGATTCGTAGATCTCTCTTCTCGCCGATAATAAATTACACAAGAAAAAGTCGCGCTGAAACTTTTATTGATTATAAAAATAAAAGGAAGTAAGATAGAAATTGACAAGTAATTACACGAATGAATTTAGCGTCGATATTATATCTTGTGATGATGACATACAGTATTGCGTTGTTTATCTCTTGTTTTCATTATTATAATGGCGTTATGCATAATATTTTTGAGAGGCACACTCAGCACAAACGGCTGTCGTTTCACAAAACTTCCACATCACGTCGGTAATAACAATACTTATATTTCATCAAACGCCTTATATCATCAGATTTTGCTTTTTTTTTTTTTCTTTAGTTTGCAATACATATATATGTTGTATTTATATATTTATATATATAGATATATATCAAAAATATTCTTAGTAAAATAAAGCATTTATATGTATAACGTACTCTTGTGTTCAAAGTACCTTCTTGTATAATTATTATAGTGTTATACGTCTATGCTTTTATATGTCCATATTTATAGGTTTCTTTTTTTTGTAATTATTTACGCGGCGTTATATGTATATAATAATTATATGTGTGTTGTGATCAATATACACATCATACTTCCGCCTTCATTCGTAACATTCGCGCAATTACAAGTGCGCGTGCGCTGAAACAAACGTGTGTCTGGTATGTTTGTGATCAAATATGCATACTTGTTTTTTTATCTTGCGTACTCACGGTTGTATCTACATTTTTTTATTTTTTATTATTTTTTTCTTTCAAAGAATATCTATGTACACATGGGGGATTAAGAGGAATCACTTTTTTTTTATTCTGCGGATGCAAGATTCTCTCGCAAAGAATTGTAAACACAGTAAACGCAAGAAACTCTTCGCGACTTCGCGAAAAAAAAAAAACAAAAATACAATATTATCTCATTGTCCTATATCTCTTTGATTGACAAATGATATCTTAGGAAAGCAATAAAAAAAATGTGTATATAATTTAAATATATTTCAAAAGCGCGATGTTTTAGAAATATTCTCTCGTCGTGTTTTGTTATTAAAACAACAAATGAAATAATATATATTGATTGTAAATAGGATTGAATAACAATTGTTGTCTACTTCCCTAGAGATCTGTAGGCAGTTAAATATATATATATATATATTGAGAAAATACATGCAGCGTGATTGTAAGTTATGTATATAATTAAATAATATATGTATGATAAAATTATAAATTTGTATATAATGTATATTTATGTATATATATATATATATGTATATATATATATATATATATATATATATATATATATATATATGTGTGTGTGTATATAAACTTCTATGATTCGTACAAGTAGAAATACATAAAATTCAATAGGCGTATCATCCGCCGTGTATTCTTGATTCTATTTAATAAACGATATAAACCCGAGTGTACGATTAATGTAAAAGTGTGCAACAATGATAAACGGACAAAAAATTCAAGATTTAAAATATATACATATTCAAGAGTAAATTTTTTGGAAACTTATGAACCACAGTTCCTTCGACTATTTCACAAATATAATTGGCGAGTAAAAAGTGTGTGTTTTCTATTCTTTACAACTGTGCGCATAAAAGTTCAATATCCGCGGGCAGTTAAAGGTGCAGTTGTTGTGACACGGCATTTGCGTTAAAAACGCCGTCTCTTGCGTAACGCGAATAAAGATATTTTCCTCAGTGGCAGTTTTTTTTTTTTTTTTTTTTTTTTTTTTTTTTTTTATACAAACGGTGCGAAGAGAATCTCGCATGCGTGTAGTAAACAGGAACCGTAATACGGCGATGGATGCGTATCGAATGCCGAATGATGGAGACCACTAGCGGCCGCATTGTTGTTTCTCTTATTGCGACTAAAACGCACACAAAGAGAGAAAGAGAGAAAAAGAGAAAAAATGCACGAAAAGAAACAAAAACCCAATCGAAATCTCACACTAAGCCGTTCCAAAGTCTTTTTGTGATTTAGCGTTTTTTTTTTTCGAATCAATTCGCATGAAAGCGATTTTTTCATCATCTTAATCAGTTAAAAACAAGAGTAAATGTAAATTATACGATTTACATTGTATTTACAATGAGGATTAATGATAATAACGTAATAAATAAGCTCAAGAATCTTAAGTCTACGCTCACTTTGTGTGTTCCGCGTTTTTGATACGCAACTTAACACCTATTTGCAATTAGAGACACATACTCTATCGTATATGTTTACGTGTTATTTAATTTTATATGTATATATATATATGTATAAACGGTGAATTAACATTACGAACATGTCATTATGCTCCTAAAAAAGATCGAGCAGGCCAATAATGTAATATACAATCGGGTCGTGTGTCGCGTTGGAGGAAACGACCGAAAAAAAGTTTCTGCGTAGACAAAATATATACTGACTTGCGCAGCGCGCGTGTGCAACACTGTTCGCATGCGAACTGCCGCATAAAAAACTATGTCGAATTCTTTCTTTCTTTCTTTCTTTTTTTTTTTTTTTTTCCAGACAAGATAAGGAACGAACTACCGATAATAATTGTCTGATTCGATACATATATATATATATGTATATATATGTATATATCTTTATATATATGTAATATATGTAATATGTATCTTTATATATATAATATATATTTTTTTAATATAATAATACATATATATACATATATTGTGTGTGTACACACATATATATCCTCTCACTACTCTTTTCTTAAACCTGATCTCCTTCTTTCTTTACCCGCTCCTTTTGTTTTTTTTTTATTAAAAAATAGATATGTTCAATATATATGCCGACTAAAAAAAAAAAAACAAAACAAAACCAAAATAAGCAAGTTCAATAAGTCTTCTAGCTTTAAATCCTTTCCCACGTGTGATGAATCATTTGGAGGTTTATCTACATTGCTACTTACAATTCTTAACTAAATATATAGAGGGAGGAAAAAAAAAAGATACGTAAGCCTTAATTAACACTAACACAATGCTGTCGCTTAGTGACGAATCCATTTTCTACTACGTATGTAGAGCTCCGGAATATTGTGTTTACGGTCGGTGAGATGATTCCTCATGAAAGAAAAAATGTTTTAAGAAACCTTTGGTTGTGTAGCCGCGCTTCTCGCGGAATGACGGTTTATCTAACTTCGTACAAAATCGCACACGATTGTTTTTTTTCGTTAAATAAAAGACGTGCAGAAAAAAAAATAAAAAAAAATAAAAATAAAGTTGAAGAATTAAATTGTCTGTTCTACGCTTTCTATATATCGAGATTCCTTCACAAGGAATCATTCACGATTTATTTGGACGTTCTACGTATGTATAAATCTACATACATGAAATTCTGCATTCTCATGCGTACAATTACGTAATTAATGATAAAGTAAACGACTTTCGCCCGTGTTTACTTTAGGCACTTTTCGTGGAAACAGCATTGTTCAACACGCTTTGCACGAATGCGTTTTTTTTTTTTTTTTATAAGTGAAGCTTTGGTTGTTAATATATAATGTGAATATCTCGCTAAAATCGAAGTGTCTTATTTACTTGCTCGAATTATTCTACTAGCCTATCTACAAGTTTGTTTGTAAATACGATCGATGCAACGAATATATATAAGTCGCTATTAGTCGATCTTAAGTGTAAAATCAACGTGCATCAGCATATACGTGTATGTTTGAGCGTTCGGATTCGGTAAGTGCATACCGTGATGCGCTCACGTAAGGCAAAAACTGCTCTCCAAGCAGTGATCATTGTCGTTCTTTGCTCAGGCGGCAGGCTTTGAAAGTGCTAATCGCCTGATTTCGGCGTGAGAAGAAGAGCGCCAGAGTCCGCATATAGCCAACGATCCATTTTCGCCGCGCTGTCTCCTTCTTCGGAACAAAAAAAAAAAACAAAAAAAAAAAAAAAAAAACAGTGTGCTTTTATCTACTTACGTCTCTTCTTCTCTCATTTATCAACGGGTCTTGGAACAGTTTGCGGTATTACTGTCAGTGATTTTGGGATTTTTGGCAAAATCGGAATCGGATTATTCGATGTCGGCTTTGTGGTCACCTGAATCGACTTCGGTAGATTGAGATTGTGCACAAAGTTCTGGGTGCTCGAGCCGGTTTCGTTCGCAGACGTGGCGCGCGTCATATCGCAGATCAGAGGCTCGAAATCGCCGCGGCTCTGACGGCTCAGCATCTCTTGTTGCATTCGCAAGTGTCTCTGGAATTGCTGACTGTGACTGGCCGGTACGGCGATCGGCGCCTTCTGATACTGAGAGCTGGATCCGTTGCTTGTACCGGCTCCGGACTGTCTGTCATGAGACTTCTGCCGTTTGAACATCTGTACTCGCTTGAGATCGGACTCGTTTGCTTGATACACCTTTCCGCCGTTGTTGTAAACGGACAAGCTGTGTCCGCCGTCCTTCCGTTTGGCCCCGCTACCGCTAGCGGATGGCAGGCTCAATCGTTGCAAATTCGGCGGCGGTTTTTTGATGATAGATACGCCCGGATTGAGTTTGAGCACCGACGAGTTTACTTTCGTCAGATGCGACGTCGCAACGCCGCTGCTAGTTGACGCTCTCGATGACATGGAACTCGTGCCGGGCATAGACAACCTGTCTTTTTCCATTACGTAGCCACCGCTGAGACGACGCGGATTGCTATATTCCGTCGCGATTGGTTCCATTATCGGCTCGTCCATTTTTTCCGGACCTTCGTACGATATCAGTCTATTTTGCACCGACGTGGAGTAGTTGATCGCGTTTCGCGAGGCGTTCGGCGCCAGGATCAAGTCGCCGGCTCTGTAGTACTTTTCAAGGAGAATCAAATGCCGCAGAAAAGAGCTCTGATTGCCATACGGTCGCTGCAATTTCTGCCAGAGAAGCTTGGTCTCACGATCGTACTGAATCATCGTCGCGCATTTCTCCCAACCTTGCGGCGTAACCTCGCGCACGTTTTGAAAATCTATATTAACATGAAGATTCATCTCTTCCTCACCAGGAAAGAGCGTGCGCACACTTATCGAGGGATTTGCTCCGAGTCTCTGCACCACAGGTGTTATGTCGTTATTGCTGTTGTTGAGTCTCGGTCTCTTCGGCAGCCGCGTCAGAGTAATTTCGTTGTCCATCCCGAATATCTCGACCATCTCGTTCGTAGACGCGCCATCGTACGAAGAGGACGGCGCGTACGTATGCGCATCGAGCATTTTGCGTTTTTTCAAGTTTTCCACGGAGCTCTCAATGTTGAGATATTGAACGTTCTCCGCATTACCGTTCTCGTTGCTACTCGCGTTGCTAATTTTCGCATTGCCAGCGACTGGACGACTACTCACGTTGCCACTCGTCTCGGCAGAGCTGCATCCCGCCGCGTTTTCGTTCTTATTTGGTTCTGGCGTAGACTTCTCCGATGAGCCGCTTATCGCGCGATCCGGCGACTTGGAACTCCCGTTCTTGGAATTCACGTTCCTGGTGCCTTTCTTACCTTTCTTATCTTTCGCTTGACTTGTCTGCTGCGGCGACTCGTCTTCCTCTTCCTCAACTTTGATACCTAGGTACTCCAAGATCCTGCGTATCGAAAAGTGCTCTTCGTCAGTTTCTCTTCTGTTCTCTCTAAGTCATTAAAACTTAACTCACAGAATCACAATGGCTTGAATTTTTGGCATACTCACCTCTTTCGATACCTCTTACAGAAGGATCTGTGAGTCACGTTCATTTTCTCAATGTCTTTGTGCTTCAGATGCTGCATCATGAAGTATCGACAAAGTTTGCACACGAATGTGCCGGTCACCAATGTAACGGGAATACCTTGATAGCTGAGCAGCTGATTCAATTCGTTAATCTCTACCAAAAGAGAGTTAGGCACTAAATAAGTGTGTGTTCGGGCGAGACGGCGTTTGCACAACGCGCACGTCAAGAAGCGTCCGATCTTTTCGTAATGATTAATGCAGAACGACAGCGTGGAGTGTTGCGTCGACTCCCAGTCTATATCAACCTTAAATATTAAATAAATCCACAAATCTATCATATGTTCCAAACCATTGAGTACATTAGACATATATAAGACACGCGTATGTATAAAATCAAGCCACGTGTATTAACCTGATTTTGAAGACCATTTTTTATCTTGAGCAACCAACGGCGTTTAACGTGATGTCGAGCAGGATTTCGACAATCGCGAGCTGCGCATTTTGACACCATCAATTGTCTGTGCTGTTTCTGCGGCTTCTGCTGCACATTTGTCGGACTAGTGTTCGCCTAAGAGAAAAAAAAAACCGAAACTCTCAGTACTATCATGATTATATATGTCCGTTTCTGATATGTGTGGCAATTTGTGTGTGAGATATATATAAATAAATATATATAAATATAAAAATATATAAAATAATAATATATATTATATATATTATATATATATATTTTATATATATGTATATATAAATTATTATTATTATTATTATTATTATAACAAACCTTTCTATCAACGTGACGATAACATGCATCGCAGAGACAAGAATCTTTTGTTAGATTTATCTCTATGTTTAAGATCTTCTTGCGTCTCTCGTCAGATTTCATTTGAGCTAGATGCATCGGCGTGTCCAAAGAACCGAACTTGCCAAAGCAGTAGCAACATACGTCGGCGCACACGCGGCCGGGATGTATGGAAAAAGATGATGACTTTTCTGGAATAACAAGCGACTGACGATCCTTGGGCGTAGCATCCTCGTTATCGTCTTCTGCGATGACAAAATTAGACCAAGTTAGATACACATCGAAAGTGAACTTTACCGTGCTCTGATGTTGTGTAAATCTTGTTCCGACTTTTTAAATTAAACGTGTTAATATTTAGCGAGAATGTAAAAAGTCAGTGAGTGTGTCCTTACGATATATAAAAAAGCAAAATTTTTTACGTAAAGAAACACAGCATGCATTGTTACGAAACTTATGGGACGATGAAGGGGCGGTAGTCTTTGGAACTAGTGGTCTGTAAAACAAAACCGAGTTTTGAATTCTCTATACTTTCACATTGAATATTTTACAAGTGCATTGTTTTGTAATTCTTTTAATTGCGACAAGCGGCGAATCATCTTAAAAATGCGAGAACGAAAATAAAAAAACGAACAAGGTTTGTTTTTTTTTCTTTTTTATATCTTTCGAAATAGACATGTGAATAATTTTATCGCGTTAACACTAGTTTCAATACGGAAACACCATCGGTTTAGAAAAAAAAAAAAAAAAAAACTATGAGATTATCGGAAAAGGCGATGAAAAAAGGAAAAATAAGTGAGATAATCAATTTTTTTTTAGTTATTCCCGCAACCAGGATTACCGCAAGAGTGTCTGTGGTTAGTAGTGAACTTTCGGTTCGCACCAGAGCTGCTATCTCCCAAACCACTGGTTCCAAACTGAAAAAAAAGAAACAAAACATAATTGGATACGGTAAAAAACGTATTTGAGTAAAATGGTCAAATTTTATTATAAACTTATCAGCTTACTCGTCATTTTTCTCACCACATCAGCTATATCCGTATGCCAGAGAACTACATAATTGTCTCGATCAGTCACGAATTCAAACAATGATGTGATTCTCTGGCTACGTGATCTGCCACTACTATAGTTCAAGCGTCTTTGTTCAGTCCTTTTTTTTCTTGTTTTTCATGCGCTGCACGTGCATGAGAATCAAGAATTTTTCAAAATTTCTAAAAGGTTATTTGTTCAAATGATAATTAAAAAATATAACGCATTATTACATATATATATATATTATTGTTTTAAAAAAATAATCCAAGAGAACTCGTTGAAGAAAAATAAGAAAAAAAAAAAAAGACAAATGAAGAAGTAAATGAGAAACTCATGTGGCAAGCAAAACTGAGTTACGTTCCACAACGCAGAAGCGTGAGGAAAGCTCAAAAATTCTCACCTCCTTTTGTATGGTGTAGAATTCGGGGGAATCTCCGTCTCCGTCTCCGCGCCCTTGCTGTTTCAGAACCATTTTTAGCGGCGATCGCGACCCTTTCTTGTCCTTGTCCTTCTCTCTGTCCTTTTGAGACACTCTGATGATTGTTTTCAAAGTGCCCGTCGACGATGATTGTTCTTTTTTCGTTTTTTCTTGCTGTCTCTTCGCGGCTTCCTCCAGAGATTCCAGTCCCAAAAGCCGCAGGATCGATTCTTTTCTTTCTTTGTCCTCGGGCGTTTCCAAAATCTTGGGAGTGCCTCTGTTGGACGAATCGCCGGACGTCGACGCCTCGTCCGAATCTTTTTGCGCGAGTTCCAACGTCGTATTGGCGATCTTGCATTCGTTTTCCAACATATCGATATTGTTGACCGTTTGCTTCGACATGTGATTCTCGGACAGATTCCGGGAGAATTTTCGCTCGTCGTTTTTGCCGCTCTTCGCCCCGGCGATCATTATGTCGTTTTCCGATTTGCTTCGCAAATTCGATCCCTTTTCGAGTTTGTCCAGTCGGCTTTTCTCCTTTTCCCGACCCAAGAATCCGCGAAAACCGTCCGTGCATTCCGCGACATTGGCTTCGTATTTCAAAAACGATCTGTTGTTCTCGTTGATCTTAGCGACCTCGTTGTCGAGTAAAGTTTCCTCCTTGTTCTGCTGTTCGGATTTTCGCACATCCCGTTTGACGCGTTTCGATTTCGAACCGCCACCGGACAATTGCGGCGGTTCCTCCTTACGTTTTTTCGTCTCCCTGCTGCGACGAGTACGCGCCAAAGGTTCGATATCGTCCGATTCGTTGCTGTTCTGCGACTCGCCCGAGGTTTCTGTTTTCTGAGAATTTTCGGAACCCGCGGTGGTCCCGTCTGTCCACGACGCTTGCGTCCCATCAACTTCGCCATGCAGATTGGAATTCTTTTGAATACCAGATTCTTCCGTTTTGATTTTTATATTGTCAACGGAATCGGGACCGCGAGAGAAAGCTCGTTTGTTTTCAATTTTCTTTTGCTTATCGCGAGCCCGCAAAACTCGTCTGTTGTTATCTTCGTTAACAGGTTTCTGCTCGTCGACGAGAACCTTGTCGTTCGTCGGCGATTTGTCGCTTTGATCCGCGGTTGTAACAACAATTTGTGACTTTTCGTCCGAATTATTTTCGTCCGAGTTTGACGCGTCGTTAGATCTGTTCGATTCTTTAACGTCGCCGTCCCGATCGACTTCCTCGTCGGTTTTGTCGTTTTGCTTTTGATCGGACGTGTGTCCGACGGGCACGGAATTCACGGAGCTACACTCGCTATTTAAATCACAGTTTTCAGTTGATGACAAATGATTGTTGTTGATTTTATGATGCTTCGCATTTTCGACTGTTTTGCAAGAGGAATCGTTTTCCGACGATGACGTTTCGGTCACTTCGAGAACGTTTTCGTCGTCAGCGCAGCTTTTGCTCGGCGTCTCGTTTGTTTCACCGACAGCTGATTCTACCGGCGCGCAATTGTCATCGTCGCAGCAGCCAGACATCTCCTGCTGATTTGCGCTGATCTGTACATCTTGCTCCAACGTATTCAACGGCTTTGTGTCGGAATCCGGTAATTCTTTGCTCGATATTGTGTCGTTCGCTGTACTCGGTAATAAAGTTTCGAACGATTCGCCTTCCGCTACCAGTTCCTCGACCTCGCGGGACAAACTCTCAAGCGTTTCCAGTTCTTCCGAATCGACCGAAACGTTCAGAGTAATGTCAGTTTCCGATTCTTCTTCGTTCGCATGATCTATCGCGATGATTTGCTCATCGACTTTATCGAGAGACCCAGCTATTGGCGATGATAAGGCATTATTGTCCGACACCCGACGAGATAGAGCGTCCAATGTTTCTTCGTTCGTCGATTTCTTGATTTCGGTTGCCGCATCTTCCGTATTGTCCGATTTTGAACCCGATTTGTTCGGAGATTTATTTGATTTCTTCGTTTCGGGACTGCTGTCCGAACTTTTCTCGCTGATTCTCGAAGATTTTCTTGTCGCAACGGTCTTCTTGATCTCGTCCGATGTCGTCTTCGATTCGTTATCGCTGATCGAGGTGCTGCCGGCCGTGCTGCAACCGACATTTTCCGCTTTTGACTCAACCACGCAACCGGATGTACCGTTATTATTACCTATATCACCCGTGGACTCGTAAGCATTATGTACATCGTTAGTTATGTCGCTGTCGGCGGCTTTGTTGTTATCTTGGACGTTCTGCGAGTTGGTCTCCGCTTCTCCGATATCAAACTTGACTAGTTTTTCCTCAATCTCTTTGGCAGTATCGGCCACTTTTGGTACAGAATTTTCAGAACCATCCGCGATCTCGTTTTTCGTTATAACAGACCCGTCTTCGTCGGCGTTTTCCTCCAATCCCTTCTTCTGAGAATCCGTACTAAGTGGCGCAACGATCTCCTCGATCTTGGGCACATCGATGCTCTTACTTAATCCAATACCCGTTTCCTTGTTGTAAATTTTGCAGTTAATCTCAATATTTTTTGCAATGTTTAACTTTATGCTCTGTATCATCTGATCTATATTCTCGGATTTGGAATTGCTATCCGATTTATCTGTATTGTAAAAGGAACTAACGGTTTTCTTTATGTCTATGTTTAAACTAGTTCTGCGATTTTTCGACTTGTCGGCACATTTGGTTAAAATACTGTCTTTTCTGATTTGATCTAAATTATTAAGTTTTTTTGCATCTTCTTGTATCTCCGCGGTTTTAGGGATTATTCGCGTGTCTTCGACTTCATCGTCTTTCGCCGCCTCATTTTCTGTAGTTTTAGCTTTAGTTTTGGAGCGCAACATTGGTCCTATCTCGCTCGCTCTATCTACCCGATCGCTATTATTATTATTTTCTATTTCTGATGCGGTATCGGTGTCCTCGTCAAAATTCTTGGTTTCTTCCTTCGTCAAACGGATCTCATCCTTGTTCGTTGCCACAATGATTTGAGATTCGTTACAGTTGGGATCCGAGAAACAAGAGTCCATATTTAAATCGGTATCTATCAAATTATCTGAAATGAAAGTCCCATCCGAATTCAGCCTGTGACGTTTTTTAATATCGTTATCCGCGGAATTTCCAGAATCCGATAACTGACGTTGCTTCCCATTTCGCAAGCTTCTCTGAGACATTTCATTATAATTTCCGGCTTTCGACCTCTTTCTCAATTGTATTGCGTTTTGATAGTGAAGTCCTTGATCCGACTCCGTGTATTCTCCGTCTGATGCAATTTTCATTTCGTCGGCATCAGGTTCTTTCTTGATTTCAATGTCGCAGATGGGATTTTCATCTACCAGCATTTTCTTACTTCTCGTCAATTTTCCCTCAGTCTTCTCTATAACACCCTGATGACTTTCAGCTTCGTTATCGCCCAACATTGAAGAAGCAATAACTTCGTCTATGGTAAGATCAATAGAGGTCTTGTTATCCAAACCTGTCTTTGGAAACTTTTCAATGCTAGAATTATTTCTTCCACTAACGCCGCAGTCTAATTCCTTGCCAGTACTCTTCCGACTTTTAACACCTTTTTCAATATAAGTTGCAACTTTTACAAAATTGTACTTGGTACTGTTTTTTTTGAAGTTTGTTAATTTTGTTGTTTTGGCACTTTTTGACAAAGAGTCACAACTTTCTGTTGTTGTTTTTCCCTTTCTGCCAAGCTTAGGGCTGACTTTAGCACTGGATGTACCACTGGTTTCTTCTTTATTTTGAATGTCAGATTTAGTTTTCTTGGTCCTGAGATTATTCTTGGCACTTTTTGGTGTTTCAGTTCCCTTGCCTTCGTTGTCACAGTTATTTATCTGATTTTCAGAAAATTTCAGACTGATATCTGCCGCTTTAATTGTTGCTTCTTCCACCTGCTTTAGCTTTTTTGTCTTTATGCTCCTTTTAACGTCAGATATTCTGTGTAGATTTTTGTTTGTCACTTTCTTGGTAACCTTAGACTTAATTACCTTGGCTGCTCTTAGGTTTTGTTTGCGTTTCAGATTTTTAAGAGCATTCCTACGTGGTAAGCTCGCTTCTACTTTAACTGGAAGCTGACTACCTGTTGCTACTGTATCAAAAATCTCTTGCTCGGATTGCTGTTGCTTTATATTTGGCAATGACTTGCCCTTTTTATTCTTGACTTCATTGGATGGCAAGCCAGAGTCATTACTCGCCTTCTGTTTTGATTTTGAAGGCACTAAAGGTCTCTTTTCTCTGGATGCCATCTCACTTCCACCCACATTGGGCTCCTGCAATATTATGCATATCTTCTAAGCATTATTTTATTATTGAAAATATACACATTATTGAAATATAAACATTTACAGTAATGGAATTGTTATTAATAAAAATTACCTAAGTTGCTAATATATATATATATATATGAAGTATACATAGGTATGTTATAATGATAATTTAATATACATAGTAAAGAATTGCTTATCTAAATGTCTGATTCTTTTTTCGAACACAATAGAATTTATTAATTCAAACATATAATACAATATTCATAAAAATTGAAAAACTAATGCGAATTATTTATATATACATTTGTAATTTACATATAATTCATCAAGAATATAAAATTTTCTTATAAAAGTAACATGGCGAATCAAAATTGGCAAATTTGCAAGGAGAAAGAGTCGCGCGCGCGAATGGCCGATTGCGAAGACGCGTGATTTTGTGAGATTTTTCGCGTGTGAAACAGATCTAGGATATCAATGAGGCTGAGAAATAAATAATGTTGTTGTTGTTGCGCGCTCGGAGAAAAGCGCACGATTATCGTCGATCGTGCGCTCACAAAATGGACAAGACAACGGGGTTGATAGATGCGGCCCTGGCGAACAGAAAAATTACGTGACAAACTTTGCGTCAAGCACACGACACACACGGGACGAAACGAAGCGCCTTTTGCCTCTTGCGCGCTCGGCTGTGTATAAGCCGCGCACAGTGTCGCGTAAAGTCCGCGGCTGAAATATTTCTCGTTATATCTAGTCGGGCGACGAGCCGATCGCGACGATTCCACGCTCACGAGAAAGCGCGCGGCACACGCTAACTGCTCGGTCGTGAAATCGGTTCGTGATCGCGCTAGAATATCAAAAAATCGTCGCGACAAAGTCCGTTGCGAAAATAATCGGCCACGAATAAACAAAAGGTCGGGCCGTTCGTCGGCTCAGATTTTCGGAGTTCGGGCGCGACAACGCGGATCATCGTTTACGACCGATTGCAATCGCCCCGATTACAGAGAAATCAGCACTCACCTTGGGGACTGAAAATCCTGCCGCAAGTCCGTGATGATGGGCTAAAAAACTCGGACGTCGATCCCCGTAGTATCTAGTCCCGTTTTTAGGGTGTCCCACACGCCGACCTACTGTTTTCCGGCTACCGCCACCTGCCGGCCGTAGTCCGCGGCAGCTCCTTACGGAGCATACTCCGTTTACGATAACGCCGCCGCCGCCAAACGCTGTGTATCCGAGACTCGTTGCTGCTTCACGCTGGACTGGCGGCCCGGCCCGCCGCCCGTCGCCCGCCGCCGCCGCCGCCGCCGCTCGGACGTTCCGCCGACAGGCCAGGAAATAACACGAGCGGGTCGCGCCACGCCAACCAGCTGATCAGCGCTGAAGAAAACACGCGCGCCGCGTCGCCGCGACGTCAGCCACCGCGAGAAAACCGCGGCGCGTCTATGGCTTTATTATGTTCACCTCTCACCTCACTTCACTTCACTTCACTTCTCACCACACCTCACTTCACCTCGTCACGTTTCCGAGCTTCTTCACGAATTGTATAGCTCATACACGCTAACTGACCTAGCGTTACACCGCGAATTTAGCGGGCCGCTTCACACTTTACCTACCCGCACCTACCTAAACCGGAATCACCTGGTTGTCGTCGTCGACGATGATCGCGGGATTCACAAAACCTCCTCCGGACAAGGAAATTAAAACGGTAGCGCGAGTCAGGTGTGAAGTGGCGTGAAGTAAGCCGGGAGACTCGCGGACGGTTTCGGTCGTTCGTGAGCGACCGAGAGAGCGCACGAGATGGAAGACGCGCCCGTCGGTATACGGTGCGCATCAATGGCGGCGACATCGGTCGACCCTTATTTAAAGTCCTCAAAATGGCCGCCCTTTGTGTCTCCGCGCGCGCCAGTCTCGTCGCTGTTCTCAATAACGCTCGCCCGTCGAGAGGCGCCGCGACGTCGCGCGTCGCACCCGCGATAACTCAGGTAATGAGAGATTAATCGGCGAAAATTAGCGGCGCGATTCTTTTCCAATTTCGCATCTTTTTTTCTTCCTCTTTCTGTCCCTCACCGCGCGGCTGTTGTGATTGTACTTCGAGATTGCACTGTCGAAGGGGCCGTGCGGACGTCCTCGCGAACGTACTTTGTACGTTCTGTGTCCATTCTTCTCATTTGGTTTTATCCTAAATTTTTCATCCAAGATTATGTTATCGTCAATCAATTGCAATTGTATTCGCGGTAAACTTGCGCATTATTTAAAGCCGATACGATAATCGCGACCAATTGAGAGTTACCTGTACGATAAAAAATTGGCTGTGAAAATAAACTTGTCTATCCACTCGCAACTATGTTCCTCGAGATATCTGGCTCGTTAATAATTACGGATACATTTGTAGCGACTTGATTTAATGGTCGCGAGATGATATATGTTGTGTGTTACCAAAGTATTTGCTAACCTAGAAATTTTGTATAAAGTTTGTAACTTCGAATTAATAAACTGTAAAAAAACTAAGATGGTCATTGTATAAAATTAATACAAATTCTAAAAACAGATGTACATAAACTTTAAAAATTTATATTTGGCTAGAAACATTCAGCAAATTTACATCAGCTGTGTACTGGCTTTGTTATTTATTACTGTTTTATATATATATATAGTATTATTGTTACTATTTGTAACAATATAAATACAAGAATAACTTCGTTTCACAGTTTAACATAATTTAAAAGTGTTTTTTTATGTTCTTGTTAGTGATAAATTATATCTCAACTCACAGAAGACAAACTGGATTTATATACAAATGAATTAGTACAATTAAACATGACCAGTGTAAAGATATGCAAAATATTTCCATCTTTTTTAGATTCAACAAAGATGGTCCAGTTATAAATCATCTTCCAAATATACAAAACCCGAAGATTATACCGATTATGAGATCTCAAATGATCCAAACGAGTGGAAATATGTGGAACGTTTGCTCAGATACAAAATTATACCAAAGCCTCCTAGTACCACTGATGTTGAATTGCCATCTGGTTATAAACCAGCGCAAGGTAAGCAAAATCCAAATATTGAACATATCTCGCTGACGTTTTTCTTTTGCATAAAAAATAATCTTTAAATAAAATATCTGTAATCAAAATATTTATGAATTCAACAGCCTTGCCCAAGGATACTCCCTATTTCGTAGAACGCACAAAGAATTATATGCAACCTGTGTATTTACAAGTAAATCTAAGAAAAGTAAAAAGAGTCACAAAGATCAGGAAAATTCAAGGAGACATATGGAAATTAGATCAAGATTTAAAAGAATATATAGAGGACATCACGAAGCAAAAAATCGCTAGCCAAATCTTCGAGTTCGCAGGTTTAATTATATTAAGAGGCGATCACGTGAGTCGCGTTAAAAAATGGATGGACATGAAAGGGTTTTAAGAATCATTGTACGGACATTTCTATAATAAGTTTTTGTTATTATATACTGTAAATATATAATAAACAATGAATTTTTGTTACAAAACATACCGCATGTACATTTATCCTATTTGCTTCTGTGTTTTTAAATAACAAAGTGTTTCTCCAACAAGAATTATCCCGTATTCTCTATTTGCCAATTTCATTAATTCGAAAAGAAAATGCTATAGAAAGACTATTCTTTAGCACGTGTCAACAATATCGCTTAATTCTGTAAAAATTATATTCGCTAATATAAAAAAAAAAACTGCTCATACGTTTGTTTGAAATATCAAAAGAAAATTTATAGTACATATGTATCGGAATATTGTAAATGTGTCAATCGCACGTGTTATGCAAATATTCGTTAACTACAATACACATTTGCATACAATATGTGTAACACATTCCGATAATAAGTTATTACATTATTTTTACACACCTAAAAATATCGGTTCTTGTTCTCTTTATCTATTTATACACATATGCTATGTATATATATATATATATGGTACATTTTTTTTCTTATTAAAAAGTTGAAATATCTCTTGCTCCATGAATACACACAGTGTAGAGACACTTTCAAATTCTAAACAAAGGAACATGGCACCCGCTGGCGAAAGGAAATTGCGTTGAAATTAATGTGCCTTAAAGATAATTCCTCGAGAATAATTCACTTTAAAACATCAAAGCTGTCACGCGTAAGAGATTTTTAATGCCACGCGGTAAAGATCAAGTAGGAGTAACATATTTAGGCAAGAGATATTGAGTGTTGGTTTATCGATTTATAGGGATTTTTTGAAAGGTGTTTGCAAAGTTTTATAAATTTTCTTTTTTGTTTTGTCGATTTATTTCATGAATACGAGTCCTTTTATTAGATGCATATAGCAAAGTTTACTTGAAAATTTTTCCTTGATTAAATTTACGTCCCTCATTGTCTGCGCCAGTCCAACTGAGATATTGCTTGACCAGCTCCTTTGTTTCGTCCTTAGACGGATCCAGTTTTGTCCAACTGTAAGATTCATAATCTACTTGCCAGTCAGGACTCAACTATTAAGAATAAAAAGAAGATTATGTTTGAATGCGTGTGAACACACAAATATTTTATATAATTTATCACTTTTGTATAAAAACACGTACAGTGAAAACAAGATCCTGTCCGCGCCAGATCCAAATACCACTGATTGTATTGTTGTTATCTTCTCCGAATATACAACAACTAGCAAATGTACCTTTCCGCATGGAGTCCAACCTTTGATACATACCGCTAATTAAATTACAAGACATGAAAATCTGTAAAATCCAGAGAAGCATGTAAATAAAACATTCGACATGGACTTTCTCAAATATTAGCTAGAACATTTTTTATCTGCATACTTTAGTTAATTCGTTATTATACTTGTAGTGACTAAGCCAAATGCTATAATTTTCTGGGTCAAATTTCTGCCAGAAATATGGTATGGATTTAGATTCATCTTCGTTAGAGTAAAAACGCTTGAAATCATCCAAATCAAACGAGCTTTTAGGCATCGAAGCAAATGGATTTATCTTTTTCGGTTCGGCGGCTAAAGCTTCCTCTGTTGCATCGGCTTCATCTTCCGCTGCCGGAACCTTTTCAGCTTTTGACTCTTTTTTTGACTCCTTTGATTCTTTAACTTCTTTCTTAGAATCCTTTTCTTTCTTTTCTTTTTTTGAACTCTAGCAAACAATATGTATGTGTGTATGTATATGTATATATATATATATGTTTGTTTATATATACATGTTTGTGTATGTGTACATACAGATCAAAACATACATATATTTACAAAACCATATTTATGTACTTGTACATGAATGTTTTACTTGTACGTGATTTTTTTCTTTTACTAAACTAACCTTTCCCTGAACTTCACCATATTTTTTAGGATCAAACTCAACAGTTTTATCTGCCAATTTAAAGGCACCAATTACAGAAATCGATTCCGGCTGATAGATCACTGTTTGAAACCATCTATTTAGGTTCCGATAAGGTTTACGTAGCTCTGGCTCAAGAATATACTGATAAAGATGTAGCAATGTCATGGCTACACAAATATCTGCTAAAGTCAGTCGCTCTCCTACTAAATAAGTGCGTGTGAGCAAATGCGAGTTTAGAGTTGTGAGTGTTTTTTGTATATCTTCTTTGGCTCGCTCAATAGTCTGAAAATCATTACATAAATTAATAAATTTAATCTATGTATAATAAAACTTCTTTGTAATTTAGCAATTAAGCAACGAAACTTAATATTGTATGGTATAAAGTGTGTGTGAAATATTGCCAGAGCATATACATAAATCTATATATTTTACAATATAGGTAACTATGATATGCATAAAAATTCACAATATTCCAGTAATCTACCTCCTCGAGTTACAAAACCTAGAATTAGAATTTTACCAATTTTGCCTTTGAAGGAGGATATGTACATAACTTTTATAAATATCAAAACTAAATAAAAAATGAAATTAATCTAAAAAAAAAACTATGCAAAAAAATTCATAGTAATACCTGCTTGTTGTAAGGCATTATGCCTATCAAAGGAAATACCCAAGCACAACTTGCAGGAAGAATTTCAGAATCCGCAAAGCCAAGCCATTGAAGAATCAATGCTCGTTCAATTTCGGTTTTGCCTCGCAACTGCTCATTTGCAACTATAAATAAGATATAGATATTTATCATATAAAACACAGTGTGTGTATACTTTATATAAGATAATAAGAAAAAATTAATTTAGAAAAACTTACCATAATATGCTATTGCGTTACTTTCAGTAATATAATGTCCATCAGTTGTTTCAAGCGCTGGAACCTTTGAAAAATTCACATATTTACAATACTTTCAATCTTACACCATGTACAAATCAACATATTGTTGCACATAAAAACAGTTTAAAGCATAAAGATTAGAATAAAAGCAATTAGAAAATAGAAAAAAATGTTTTTTTTTTTTACAATTTTACAATAGTTGGTTTCATGTTAAAAAAAGATAAACTTTTTCTTAAAAATTATAAGACGAAAACTCATGTTAACTATATATTGCATGTAGGGAAACACAAATGACTGTTGATCGTACGAAACATGACTTACCGGTTGTAAAAGTAACTTGACTTACTTTTCCTAGCGGAAACTTTTTGAGAAATTCCTCGGTCTTGTTGGTCTCGCCAAAGACGAAATCATCAGCGACTTTGATCTGGGCGCCAGAGTACTGGGCCGCTATCAAGGCCTTGTAGGCACGGAAATTTTGCGGATACGTGTAGAGAGTCTGTAAAAAAATTTACAGAACGGCATGTGATACATCGTGTAGACTTTGTTTTTTAGCGTTCCGATATCGACATCGACACGCGATTGCGTTGATGTCGACCAGTGAAAAGCCGCGTGAAAGTCACTTACTCCGGACGCCATTGTTACCAGTCGGGAAGAGGAAGTGAAAAGTGAAAGGCCGGCAAAGGTTTGGTTTGGTGCGGTTGTGGCTGTCGGTGGACCATTTATGCCAGTCCATACTCCATTCTATGTCTCATTTCAGATTAGGAGCGCAGCTCCAATAAGATCCTAGAATGGCTGCGGTCCGTTTCATGCTCAAGCGCACATTTATCTATAGTATACGTGACATATATTATAGATAAATGCGCGATTAAGCATGAAACGGACCGCAGCCAATGACGTATGGACTAATTAAGGTGGATATACATTTATACATATATAATATATGTATAAATGTATATCCACCTTAAAATGACTGTCAAATGATCTTACACTTCTGTCGCTATTCCACGGTAAATTTAAAAATGGCAGCCCTCAAAGATGTTGCCTCCTTGTATCAGAATTTAAAACGTGAATGGACAAAAAAACCTTGCAATTTGAAGAAATGTAGCGAGTTACTCAATCAATTAAAGGTATAATCTATATATTTCAATCATATTTGAGCAAAATTCACTCTCTTTGATGATATTTCATAATAATAACCTCAATTTTGCGGGATTTAAATAAAATAATTTTTTGTTTTTTCACTAAGTTTAAACTTTAACGAACATTTTCTTGAGAATTTAGTATTTACATATATACATGTACAAAATCTTGATATAATTATTGTCTAATATTGTATTGTTAAATGACAAACACTGTCATTTGCAGGTTGGTCTTACTCATTTGATGTTTCTTCCAACATCAAACAGCACAGCTAGTCAAAATGAATTATTGATTGCCCGTAAGTTATTCCTAATTTTCAAATACCCTATCATGTAACAAGAGCTTAACATATATATAAAAAGTTCTCTAAATTTTAATTTACATGTATGCGTGTAAATGACAGGAGATATATTAGAAATTGGGGCCCAATGGAGCATTGCCACTGAAGATATACCTTCTTTCGAACGGTACATGGCGCAGCTGAAATGTTACTATTTTGATTACAAGTCTGGCCTGATAGAATCGGCTTACAAATATCAACTTCTCGGTTTAAATCTTTTGTTTCTGCTATCGCAAAATCGGGTTGCCGAATTTCACACGGAGTTGGAACTTCTGCCATCCGATCAAATACAGTCGAATGTCTATATAAGACATCCTCTCAGTCTGGAGCAATATTTGATGGAGGGTTCTTACAACAAGATTTTTCTGGCCAAGGGCAATGTACCTGCCGCCTCTTACAACTTCTTCATAGATATTTTATTAAATACTGTACGCGATGAGATTGGCGCGTGTATGGAAAGCGCCTACGAAAAGATATCTGTGCAAGATGCAGCGAGGATGCTCAACCTAAGCACAGAGAAAGATATAAAAGCGTATGCCGCCAAAAAGAACTGGAATCTTTCTAAGGACGGTTATTTCTACTTTACCACTACTAGCGAAAAGAAATCGGAAGAGCCTATCCCGAGCTCTGAATTAGCTGCGCTCGCGATAGACTACGCGCGAGAATTGGAAATGATTGTGTAACATTTTATATATGCATATCTCTGTGTGTGTATATTTTATATCTAAATAAATATTAACGATATTACACTCTTTTATAGTATATATTGCGAGTTCTTTTTTTTCTCTTTTATATATGTACATATATATAATATACACGATAAAATTTTTGTTTAATTGAAACAATTTTGAGTATATAAAATATATAAATATATATATATATATACGTTTTTTTTTGTGAACATATACCTTTTTACATACACCTTGTATATTAAATCTTATATATTAAACCTTGTATATTAAATCAATCATATATGTTGTTTGTAATTGATATTTTATTTATATAATATATAATATAATTGCAATGTAAAATAATTTACAAAAACAATATCAAGATTCATAATATTAAAAAAATTGAGTCATGTATACATATATCATTCAGTAACGCAAATTATATCATATATGTGTATGTGTGAAACTAAAGTATACAAGAAGTATAAGAAGCACTCTGTGACAAGTGGTGACGTATAATGGTGTCAGCTGATAATCAGGAAATATTAATTAATGGAAATTCGCAAGATAAGAATTAAACGACGTAACTTAAAACAAATTATGTAGACCTGACATTAATAGCATTTTGTATTTATTCGTGTTGAAAAGAGATTTTGGCGACAGAGAGTTACTCCTGTAATAACCTCAAAAATATGTGTCTGCTAGCGTAAACATATAAACTTTATCTATTTAAGCATATCTTACGTGGCAGATTTCTCATTGCTGATATCAGTAACAAGCCAACATTGCACGTAGGTAACATCGCATATTTAAACAAAACACAAACAGTAAACAATAAGATGTAATAATTGTACATTGCAGTATTATACAAAATATATATAAAATTTTATATATATAAAAAATATTAATTTTATATAATATATCAAATATCAAATACCTGATTATGTTTAATAGAAATTTGTTTAATGACAACATATATATATATGTACTTACAAAAATTTATTGTACATGTAAATTTATGATTTTTATTAAAATTTGAAAATTATGTTTTTAATCAAATACAGAACAGAAATTATAAATTACTTGTAATTATTATTACATACAGGATTTACAGAAATGCATGAAAAGAGAAAAAAATTACGAATCATGCGTGCTTTAATACTTGTCGGTGGTTATGGAACCAGATTGAGACCTCTCACTTTGAGTCGGCCTAAACCACTTGTGGAATTTGCAAACAAACCAATGCTTTTGCATCAAATTGAAGCACTGGTATGTGTTCAATACTTAGAACTTCCTAAAAGTACTGTTTTGTTTTATCTATCTGTTACTTTAATGTTTTCAGGTGCAGACAAATGTAACAGAGGTAATCTTGGCGGTTTCTTACCGAGCACAACAGATGGAAGAGGAATTGGTTCACGAAGCAAAAAAATTAGGAGTACAACTTATTTTTTCTCATGAACCAGAACCATTGGGTACTGCCGGACCACTTGCGCTTGCCCGTGAATATTTATGCACCAGCGACGATCCGTTCTTTGTTTTGAACTCTGATATCATCTGCGATTTTCCCTTTAAACAGCTTCTCGAATTCCATGAGAGTCATGGTAAAGAGGGAACTATAGTTGTAACAAAAGTAGAAGAACCGTCGAAGTACGGTGTGGTTGTGTACAGAGAAGATGGAAAAATCGACAGTTTTGTGGAAAAGCCACAAGAATTTATATCCAATAAGATTAACGCAGGTATTTACAACAATAACGAAAAAAAAATATCGAAATATTCATGCATAGGAAAATCTTGTGTAAATTTATACACACATATATAACATTTATATAAACATTTTGTTTTTGCAAAAAAATCTAGGAATATATATTCTTAACCCGAGCGTACTGAACAGAATAGAACTGAAACCAACAAGCATCGAGAAAGAAGTCTTTCCAGGTATGGCTCAAGATGGAGAATTATATGCGATGGAATTGCCAGGCTTCTGGATGGATGTGGGACAGCCTAAAGACTTTCTCACAGGCGAGCATTTAATATTATTATTCTGAAAAAAAATCCAAACATGCTATAACTAGTTTATATATATGTTTATATACGTGTCTATATATAAATTTATCAAAATCTTTTATGTATTTTTATTTTATAAACTTTTTTTCTCCAGGCATGTCTATGTATCTTGCTTCGTTGAGACAAAAGCATCCGGAACAGCTCCATTCCGGATCCGGCATCGTGGGCAATGTTCTGATTGATCCAACGGCTAAAATCGGTAAAGATTGCAGAATCGGTCCTAATGTCACAATCGGGCCAGGTGTCACTTTAGCCGACGGATGCTGTATTAAACGAAGCACTATCTTGAAGGCAGCTGTGATAAAAGAGCACGCATGGCTCGATGGGCAAGTATTACTATTATTCTGAATATTGCAAGACGCATCTCTCTTCCTCTCTCCTCTCTCTCTCTCGTGTTAATCAAATATAACATATATGTAAAACTTAAACAGATGTATCGTTGGATGGAGAAGTGTCGTGGGACGATGGGTGCGAATGGAAGGTACAACTGTACTAGGAGAAGACGTTATTGTAAAAGACGAACTATATATTAATGGCGGACAAGTTTTGCCACACAAAAGCATTTCCACTTCTGTACCGGAACCGCAAATTATTATGTGACCAAAGACTGTGATTCCGAATCAGTGAAAAAGCATAATAATCGTGACTGAAATACAAAATGTTTGTTTCGATTTTGGTTCTTAAACGCGCTTGAAGGCAGTTTCTTATATTCGTTTTTATTATATATTATTTGTATATATACTCGGAAATTTATTCATATATAAACAAGTTCTGAATCTAAATGTTACTTAGTTATATATGTAATTGTATATAATCATGTATGAGATTGAGACAATCTCATATGTGATTGTATTTAATCATGTATAATCAGGTATAGAATTTGTCTGTATATGATATTGTCTATATATATTTTCGTACAAAAATATTTTATAAAACTTTATAAATCAATTCTCGTAGTTTTACTTACTTTTAAACACAAGTGCTTCGTACACATTCATAAAAAAAATAAACATTTCACAAATATAATAATTCACACGAGACAGAACGGAAAGAACTTAAGTTATTTTTATTGGTAAACCTCGTACTACTATCGCAGCTGCCGTCATGTATTGCGAACACGTCTGCTTTGCATTAGCCACCGCTCTTAACATTTCTGAATCCAATTTTATTTCTTCCTTTTTTGTATTTTCTGTTAATTCTAAAAAAAAAAAATTGAATATATAAATTACTAAGCATACAGGTGAGAAAAGACAGATTAAAAAAAATAAATAATAATAATGCTTTTAATAACACTGACTTAAAGTACCACTGAGCCAACTGTTCAGATCCACTTCGGCCCACGATTTCTCAGACGACGACGGAATCCAACTGCTTATAAAGTTTGCGGTCATTTTATCAATATCAGCGTCCGTTACTTCCCACAACATACCCAGTAGACAGGGACTAAAAGGTACTTTGATGTTTAACACACACTTGTAATTTTTTTACATACTTAAATTAAGTTATATATTCTCGTATATTCGTACCTGCATGCTATTAAATACTGATTTGAAACACCATAAGGTGGATATCTTCCGCCTATTACAAGCAATTTCACGCTGTTACATCCGAATAACAAAACGGTAGATCTCACTCTCATCTTTTCGATGTCTTCTCCGGATACATATTGTATTCCACTTCCATGACCGCTATACCTACAAGAGATATATAAAATGTAATCGGAAACATAATGAACTTTCATAATCGCGATAATAGACAGATAGACAGGTGAGATTTTTGTACATTAAAATGTCATGATTTACTAGCGCATCTTCAAACATTTTCTCGTCAGGTTCCTTGTTGTAACTGCTTTTCCATTTTGGTAACCAGAAATTCATGAAGAGTTTTAGTCGTTGTTCCATTTTATTCAAACCACCCGAGGGATTCACTACGCAGATACCCATGTCGTCTTTGGCTTTGATTATTTTACAACCGTCTACTATAGTATCTTCGTGCTCTTTAAATAACGCATACACTACATGCAGACAAGAGAAACGAGTGGTAGGATGGCACTTAATAATCTCCATAGCTTCGAACGCCAAATAATCCAAGTTCTTTAAAGATAAACAAAAAAAAGAAAAATAGCTGTTGTACAAAAACACAACGTTGTGCACACATTTATTATGTGTTGGCATACGAGAACATATAAATGTTATAAATCATCTTTATGTATCACTGGCACGCTTACTTCCTCAATAATTAGAACTAATGTCTTCCGTTTTATATTTTCTAATTCTTTCATACACGACAATTTTCCGTAAATTGATAAAATAATATTACTCGCAAGTTTTTTATTGTTGGGAATTAGAAACTTGACGGCACGTGCTATCTCTTCGCGAGTGAGAAAACACGCGCCTACGGACACTTTCTTTAAGAGCCATCTACATCGCTGTGATATTTTAACGCTAAAAATAATAAAACAATGATTGATGACGAAATTCAAAATATGAATAAACGATTTATAGTAGAGATTATTTGTGTCAAGTATAAAATTACTTAATGTACTTGCTATATTGTGTTTAATGTGTAACTTACGAGGGCTTGAAATCTAATATTAATTTATCAATCATGTTGTGAATCTCTTTTACAATGTCCACATCTTCAATAGGATCTGCCATAAATAAAACTCTCCATTCTCTCAACCATATTTTCTCTAATGCTTCTATAGCTGCCTATAATTAATCATGTTGAATTTTTGTCATAAAAACATTATCGATCTTCATATCTAACTTCAAGTCCTTCATTTTATACCTTCATTTTGTTATTCTGATTTTTACGCATTTTCCAATATTCCTCATAACTTGCATAAGTAGCCTGTAGCTCAGATTTGTAGTTGCCTAATAATTTATGAACTTCTTTGCAAACGTCATAAGAAACTTGTGTCATAGGTTTTGGAAGGGTTATGCATAAAGGTTCCATGTTCGATGCTCCTGTTGGAAGTACAGTAATATGTATAGCATGCATTTCACTAGATGTAAATTTTCCATATTTTAACACACTTGGAGATTCATATTGAGCAGTGATCTGAATCATATACCATTCTGTGAACAGAATAAAAAACAGAAAAATTAACAAATTTATATCTGTATGTATGTATGTATATATATACATTAGTATATTATTCATGTATGTATATATATATATATACACATATATATGCAAATGAATAAGATACTATAAAACAAAAAAACAACATGCCTTTTGGTAACTCTTTAAGTTTTGATTTTAAAGATTCAGCATTATCTACAAATTTGGTATCAAACTTCATGTGTGTTGGTTTCAGTCCATATGTCTGAGATTCTTCTCTGTATATTTCACGCAGTTGAGTCTTTTGATATCTGTGCATGACATGTTGCCGAAATATTACTGCATGAGATTCAATTAAATGATGAATAGCTACAAGCTCATTACCAAGCTATAAAAAAAACACTGCTATTTTATACATATAACTGTAAATGAAATTTAAAAACTTTTGATACTTTAAACATACCTCTAAATTACAGACTGCTAACGTTTTATTCAAACTAGAATATTCAACACTTCCTGTATAATAGCAGCATGTGTCCGAAAGTAATTTCTCCACGTTACTTTTAAACTCTTCCAAATTTGTCTTTTCAACTCTTCTTCGTGATTTTCTCAATCTTTGCGAGTTACTTGAGTCTGTCGATTTATCCTCAAACTCGTCTTCGGCATGACATTTGTACAAGATTCTCATGATTTCATCTACTTCAGCCATGACTTACTCACTTTCAAAAGCTTTGCAAGCAAACCGTTACGTTTAATTTCTCTTTATTATTATTATTTGATATTATTATTTCTTTATTATTATTTGATATTGTTTTATTATTGTAGTTTTACGAGTACATATTTAAAAGATAGCATCTGACTTCCTATAAATAATTAGAAAACCAATATAAACCTATAATCAAGGTTTTCTATATTCCTTTTTTAATAACACTTTAACACTAAATTCTTAGTTCTTGTGTGTATAATTGCAATTATCATCAATAAAAAACTAAATTATTGAATACAATATATCTGTAAAGAACGCGTACACATGCGGATCTCAAATTAAAAACTGACAGTTACTTTTAAGGGCCTTCTACAATAGGTTTGGTTTGGTGCATATATGGCTCAAAGGACCGTTTCAAGCTAGTCCATACGCCATTCTAAGTCTTTAGGAATCGTGACACAGGTCCTAAACCGTGGTTTGGGTACAAGCCACGGAGTTGTACGTTCGTTAAAAATACTGATAAACTGA